AGTGTATAAGTGTGGACTAACATCGAGTCACATTGCAATTCATGAAACAACTCTGATTAACAAGACGAAAGAAAAACATAAAATACAAAACGTTCATCGCTTATACTTTTCGACAAATATTGACTGATGAAATGAAGGACGATGAGATGGAAGGTTCATGCAGCACGTCTGCGAATGATGAGAAAATACATTTGTGCGGCATACCAGGCGGAAAGAGGCACTTTAAGGACTCTGACGTAGGTGGTAGGATAATATTAAAATTAATCAGAAAAGAACAGGGTATGAACATGTGAACTGAACTAATTTGGCTCAGTATAGTGCCACGCAAAATTGTTTTATAAACACGGTAATGAACCACCGGGTTTCATAAAGGACGAACAACTTCTTGCCTAGCTAAGCGCCTGTTAACTTCTCAGGAAGACTTCTTTTATAGACACATATATAATGGTGTCAAGGAAAGAATCCTGCCTTCCAGGGATCAAGTTCCTGTCGTCCGGCGAGCGATACCGCCTCCACACCCGCTTCCTTAATGATATTGCAATTTCACCTGACAAGACCCTAGTAAAGAAAATAAACTTAAATTCACCTGTAAGAAAAACAATCCTGAGCACAGAAAAATATATTAGGAGGGAAATAACAAATAACAAATGACATAGCAAGAATCTGGTAGGAGGGAAATAACAAATGACATAGCAAGAATCTGTTAATATCTGGAGAGTTTGATACACTCATTAAAACAAGCCGTCCTACTTGATATTGCGTTAATTTAAAAACAATTATACAGCTATTTTGATTTTAAATCCTTGGTTATGTTTATCGTCTTTAGTAGGACTGAAAAGTAACGAGACAAGTTCCGCTTTTCCTCTAAGCAACTGAATACAGAGGTCTCTTTGCTTTATATCTCTTCCGACAGCCAAGGGAAGTTTCACGAAAGCTGACGTCACTAGGAGTACAGTGTGACGTAAAAATCTGTTCAAAGTTATGGAATCACATTCTTACGATATCGGATTCTCATGGACGGTCATACGAATATCAGGAAATGGAGAAGAGACAGGAATATTTCTGGTTTGTGATGAAAGTTCTGTTACACAACTCTGTAACACTAGTCAGAATTATTTCATGTTTTGATACAGACATGCAAAACTCTTTTAAACTGTGATTCATAGAATATTCCTCTATAAAATTATAATCGAATAAAGTATCAATGCCCAAAGTGGGCTCAATGTTCCACACTTTGAAAAGGTAACATAGCATAAAGTTCAGAGAAAAATACAGAATGGTCCAAAACTTTATTTTGAAGTTTAAACACTATTTTCTCAGCAAGGAGAGATTATAATTCGAAAAGTCTTTGCTGACACACTATAGTACTCAAGCCATTTGTTCATAATTTGTTTTTGTTCGAGTACCAGGAAAATCCAAAGACTCTGAAAGAGTTAAATTCATATTTTATGCGTGAAATTTT